CTTAATAATTATTTTAATAAAGGTTCTTCATAAAAAATCAGGATAGTTGTTTGTTTATGAAGTCTTATATATATGATGCTCGGTTAATTGGTGAACGAAGTATACTTGGTTTATGACGACTTCAAGTAATTATAAAACTCACACTATAAGAGAAGAATAAATTGAACTCCAAAACCAAATTAACATAATAAGACTTAATTAAAAACAGTCAATTAAAAAGCACTAAATTAAGCTCATAGAAAATTTAGTGAAAATGTGAGAGAATTATTCCAATAAAATCATGAATCCGTTAACTTTAAAAAGCAAGCAAACTAAATAATTGCTCCTCCACACGTGACTCCGTCACATGGACGATGAGCGGGCACACAAATACATACTATGAAATAAGAGTTATATGAGTCAATTGCCATATCAATTTTTATGAAACACAACTTAATTAAAACGCTTATTTACACTTCAGGCTGTCATGCGAATCCTGTAAAATCAAATGAAGAAAAGAGAAGAAGAGAAAAGAAGAAAAAGAAGAAAGGAACAGCGCACACTAATTGTTGGCAACAACTCACCTGTCTTACCAGGCATCCAAAAGTTGTTGCACATTGGTGTTGAAAGGCTATGCTGTTGATTGAATTCGTTATTGTTGTTGTTGCTGTTGCTGACACTCTATTCTGCCTGAGCGCAACGATACAGTCATATTAATAATTAAAATGATAACAGCTTAATGCCTTTCATTATTTATGAATGCCTGTTAAGGAAGCGTGGTGTCTATTGTTGTGTGTTGTGTATTTATGTGAGTATGTGTGATATGTGTTGTTGCAGCAGTATATCTGCTTACCCTCACAGCAGCCTTTAGGTTTAGAGCAAAATTTCAAAAGGGATTTTATATCACAGTGCTGGTATAGGCAAATTGCGCTTAAGAAAAGGGGTGTTCTTTTGAAGAGCAGACATTTAAGAATAATATGTGCTTGAGTCTTATGCTCATATACAGGTTAATTAGTTTGTTTTTTTTTTGAATTTTTATCACAGCTATTGTCTCCAGCTGTTGAGAGCATGCGTTGACATTAGCTGTTCAACGCTTGTTCAGCATTTGCCACGCTGTCAAATGCTCCAATTTCTTACGCTTTGCCATTATATCATACATACATATGCACACAAAATTTATTTATATAACAACATCTCATCCCAAAACGCTTAGCTAAATTACCGAAAAACGAGCAGCGGCCTGTGATTTCACGGCACTAACTCAGGCTCGCCCACTCCAACTCCAGTAGAACAGACCTGTAGCCGCATGTCTCTCGACGGCACTTTAGGACCAATTTAAAACGCATAAATGCTTTCAAGCTTTCACCAACAACCATCACCCATATACAAGCGTGTTTTAAATATGTGCATACCCATTTCTTTGGTATTTCCTATAAGCGCCTTGAAGTATGCTTCATGAAATAGCTGGAGTATGCCATCAACAGCATTTAAAATGTTCAGCGTCAAATTTCGACTGTACTTGTGTCGCTTTGCTTGAAAATTTGTATTTTGCATATTTTCCACGATTTCTCGAGTGCTTATGCTAAGGCAGTTGAGCTGGGGTTTGGTGCAAGCGCGCGTGGGTGTGTGCATGCCTTTTACAGGAATGACAAGCCAGGAATCTCTCTCTTTTGATCAAATTTGACCCGGAATGATTACATTTATACGTAGTTTAAGTCAAATCTTTATTATCGCCTTCAAACTAGGCTACTGATCCAATACAAGCATGTCAACGTTTAATCCAATTTTCCATACACTTGGCTGGCCTTGGCTCGGATGGCCTTCAGTGCCTTCAGCGAATTACTTTTAATGACTTTACTTTACGGATTTTCAAATTTCGAAAATAAAAATGTTACAGGGTACCAAATCTGGCGAATATGGTGGCTGAGCCATGACTTTCGTTTTTTGTTTGACCATACAGTCAGTCACAATCTTGCTGGAAGGTGACGGCGCCTTATCGTGGTGAAAAATCCAAATCCAACACAAATTTGGTCGTTTACGACGAATTGCTTCACGTAGAGAATGGCCTAGTAGTATTCCTTATTGACCGTTTAACTCTGTAAAACAAACCTATAATGAACCTTACTACAATAATGAAAGATAGCGATGAGCCTCACCTTGGTTTTTGACAGACTTTGACGTGGTTTTTCGGTCTCGTCTCACTTTTGGAGCGCCATTCGCTAGGTTGCTGGACAGATTAGGACGTCTTATTCATAACGCAAATTTCGTAATCAGTATTGATGCTTTGGATTAATATAGGAACATCAGCTACGTTGTCAAGAATTTTGTTTAGACCTCTACTACTCGACATCATTTTTGCATTAGCACGCTTTATATACAAAACATTAACCAAAAACTGCTGCGTCGAGCATCGAGAGATGTTGGAAACCTATGCTATCTTTCAGATGGCAACAGGACGATTTTCAAGCACTGTTCCTTTAACTTTTTTGATGCTATCGTCAGATGTGGAGGAATATATAACGATATTTGCGGAATACTTTGTGCTACTCAAATACTTTTGTTCATGATAAAGTAGATCCCCAACACTTTTACAACATTTTCAATGATTTCGGAACCATTATTCCATTGGAAACACAAAATTTCAAGGAAATTTGTTAAATTTTTTTTAGGATAAAAATCGCCAAACAAATTTTCAAACTTCACACATTTATAGAAAAGGTTGTACTAATCGACGAAATTTTTTTTCAATTCGGTTTGAGTGCACAGTTTTATTCCGTTCGAGTCAACTTTGATCTTATACGCTCAAGACAGACATTTTCAATTTTATATGCATACTTCTACTTATATTCATAATTATACTCATATTTATTTTCATAACCACAATCACACACATCTTTATATTCAGTTTCATACTCATATTCACATTAATATTCTTAATTTATTCATAAACACTTTCACATTCATTTTCAAACAGTTATTTATACTCATACTCATTTACATTCTTCCAAATACTCATATCAATATTTTTCATAAATACGTAATTTTCAACAGCAATTTTGACACGTTTCCGTTTCATTATTTTCCACCTCCATTTACTTTCTTCTTCGCTTTACTATATTTGGGTCTTACATCTTCTTGCCTCCCGCTCTTTGCTTTTCTTGTCTTTATAGCACGCAATAAATTTGGAGGGATTTCGTTTACAAAGCTTTGACTCGCAGGATAATTAAGTCATTTTGATGTGTGCCTTGTAAATATTAGCGCTTTTGTGATTATTGTTGCTTTTGTTGTTGTTGTTCCTGTTGACACATCAATACGTCTGTGAGCATGGTAATTATTATTTACGCTTCCTTATAAGTCGGCGTTGGCGTTGTGTTAAAGCTGCGAAACGAAAGCATGATATTCCATGTACGTACACACATGTACAATATACATATATACATACACGCAAAACATACATGTAAACATATTACATACCTTGTGGATAAAAGTCAAGCGCTCAAGGGAAGCGCAGGAAGTCAGACATTAAAGCGACAAGGCGAATCTACGCACAAACGGAAGAAAAAGATTTAAAAAATATATCGTTAAGCAACGTAAAAATATTATACATATGTGCGTGCAACATGTGGTGGCTGTCTTAAGAGGATGACAAGCCAATTTTTATGGATATATGTATGTGTGTATTAGGGTATCCGTTATTTCCCATGCTGATTTTTTTTATAACAAACGCGCTCTTATGTTTGATGTTTTGCCCTAAAAAATATTATCCAATGCAAAAAGGCTCTTTATTTTCTATTTAAATCGTGCATAAATCATTTTACTTTTCCCATATATTGTATAACATGGGATTTTTTAAAATTTCGCTTTAAAAAAGTAAACCTACAACTTTGAAAAAAGAATATTCTATTAGTTTGTATGGCAGCTATATGCTATAGTAGTCCGATCTGAACAATTTCTTCGGCGACTGCAAGGTTTCTTTGGATAATAACCCACGCCAAATCTTTTGAGGATATATCGTCAAATGAAAAAGTTTCCCATACAAGAACTTCATTCCGATCGTTCAGTTTTTATGCTATGTATATGTGTTGGTAAGCTGCGTCAAGGAAGTTGTTGCTTTTAACAAGCGCTGCTTCTCAGTTTTATTCCACCAACAGAAGCAATTAAGTTACTTTTCTCCCGCTTTGTTCTTAAAAACAAGTAGACTTTGTTGCCTTTTATTTAATTTCAATAAATCTTTATATTCACATATTTTCATTGCTTAAGGCTCATCGTCATGGCTGCTTTAAGACATTTTGCACACTGAGCGGCTCTTGAAGCTGAACGCCATGCGTGTAAAATGCCTTTGTGGCTCTTTAGGCGTAAGCATACATATTTACATGCAGAAAAGTTTCCACATACACACACACACAAACGTGTTTCTCATACTAAAATACTCCAGCGACCTACGGTGCTCAGTGCGCGACACAGCAATTTCGACTAATTGTGTGCGTGAATTGATTTTACAACGATGTGGTTGCCACTTTGGCTGTAGGGAATCACCTTGTCTTCGGCACCGCATCGCAGACTTTAGGCTTGGAACAGCATTTTGACAATCCAATGTGCTCGATATTGGCGCCAAAGGGGACAGGTTGCTGTCAGCGTGTCGCAATGTTAACTGTAATTGTATTTCACCGTTGAATAGCCGAATACAATGACATTAATAGTCATATACATACGTACATATGTATAAACAAGCATACTAATGTACACGCTTACATATACATATACATATATATATATATATAGACATATATACATTTGTACGTATATACACAATCGATTTGCGGTACTATTTCGGTTCGTGGCTGTTGATTAGTGGCTTCTAATTCGATTATTAGCCGCATTGAATTATCGGCGTTAGAGCGTGAGTCAAGCGCATAAGTGGAAATGGTCGGCAGTTTTGTGATATTAAGTTAGAATATTTGCATACATATTTGCAAATGCATATATATATATATATTCTGACTAAAGAGGTCTGACTAAAGAGGTGTGTAGAATAATTAACTACTTACAATGTCTTATAAATTTAAAGCGCCTACTATTTATCAGAGCTAATTTAAAATAGTAATGTTTTTATTAGGTCGTGTTCACAATATAACCTATACACATAATAACAGGATATTACATACATCTACACAGATATATATACATACATATATAATATCGGATATAGCTTAATTATGATATGTTAACACTTTAGCGTAACGTACATAAAAAGTCATTTAAAATATAAAATCACATAAATAATTTAATTAATTTAAATGAGTTAATTTCATGTTTATTCATATTTAACACAGCGCCCTAAGCGGCACACTAAATGTAAGATTTTGAAAAAATCGATCTTTTCCATATTTCGATAGTTTATACCTATATAAATCGATGTCTCAAATAGTTTTTGAGTCACAGCCATTTAAAGGGTCCGGTCCAACAGTTTATTTTTAAACGCGTTTTTCTCTAAACAACATTTTTCGAATGAAATGATCCGATTATTTGTCTGCCTCTTCTGTATATAATTCTATATACACTGACCTATCGGTTTTATGATCTGCCGTCTGCCCAAAATTTTGGAAAAATTCACCTTATATTAAAAACGCCGGCATTTTGTCAATTTTCAATTTTAGAAAATTTAGGAGAATATCTTCTAATTTAACGAGAAGTTTTTAGTTTTAACATCCACGGAGAAGGCAGGGATCAGTGCAGTAGTGGAGAACCTTTTTTAGCGCTTTCGGAGATGTCATATAACTCAAAATATATATATATATTTGTTTTACAAATTTTACTGTGTATGCTTGCAATATGTATAAACATACCCTAAATATTTCAAAACAATCGATACAGTAGTTTTTTTTTAATTCCCAAAAAATCGTTGGTTTTTAGGCTGTCACACTAGGTTTGGACTGGAACTAAACAAAAAGACTGTATCAATTATTTTAAATTTTAATTGTATACTTATAAATATTTTAAAAATGCACAGAAAAATTTTTGTAACAAAAAACTTTAATATTTTTTGAATTACATGCGATCTCTAACCAAGGAAAATTACCTGCACTGCTGCCGATATTCCGAGCTTCTCCGTGGATGAAACCTAAAAAATCTTTACTAGATGATATTATCCGTACAATTACTTGCGGTCAAAAAAACATCATTTTTTATTTCATCTACTTATTATTTTATAGTAGCGGAAATTTTGAACAATATAAAAAACCCAATAGCTTGGATATTTGAATTTTTAACATAAATTTTAAGGTTTTTTGAAAAATGTGTCTTAGCAAAAGTTACATATATTTTCATGATAGGCCACAAAATTTTTTTCTATAGGACTCGTAGTCTTTCCGGATCTTAAGTAAAACCCTTAAAAATTCAACAACGACCCACCCCGTCCTCTTCCTCTTCACGACCACAGATCAACCGTAAACTATTTTTCCTTTAATTTTTGTTATTTTATCCTTCGTTTACAATACATATGTTATCATGAATTTCTTTCTTTCTTTATCATTTTCAAAGGCACTAGTCTATATACAGAAAATGTATAAAAACTTTCACAGTGATCGAATCCTTTGTCACCAAGTAATCAATGAAGCAAATTTTAAAAATTTTGTTTTGAGTGAAACGGGAAACGGGTGGACTTAAAATTTTAGTATGTTCTTTTTAAGGGTAGAACCTATGGAAATATGAAAAAAACCTTTTAATTTATGTTAGTTCCTTTCAATTTGAAGAATTTAAGATCAGCTCGACAAAATGTTGAGATTTAATATTTTTTTGCCATAACAGAATTTTAAACAAAAGCAAGCAATGTTCTTATTATTCAAAACACCCTCATTACATTTCTGAGAAATCCATTAAAACCTGTTTAGAACCCAATAAAATAACTAGAAAGTTTATTTGTACCATAAAACAGCAAGCTTTTTATTAAACACAGCCAATTTTCTTTTAAATTTACAACACAATTTATTGAAATAGCAATGATGCACATCAAATAAAAATTTACTAATACCAAAGCAAATTATTGAAATGAGCATTTAACGGAAATAAAATTGCACTAAAAAATAAAAAATAAAAATAAAAAACAGACGAAAAATATACGAAAGCCAATAAGCAAATATATGCAAACCAATAACAATAAATTGTGCCACAAAAATGCAGAGACAAGGCGCGCCAGAGCATGCTCCACACATTGCTTAGGCATATCGAAAAAATGTATGTATGTATTAAAAGATATAAATATGTGTATATGGAGCCGCGCATAAACACCTTTGAGACCACAATATTTAAATCATTTCGTATCAATTGAATTAAATTGTCTAGCAGCGAGGAGCATACGTGCCAAAGAATCATATATATGTATATTGAAAATGGAAATACATATACAAGTATGTACTAGTAAGTGTGCTGTAGGAAAGGTTCCATTCCCCTTATAAGGTTAGGATCGTTTGTTTAACACACGGTGTGTTTGCTTATGCGCTTTTCAACCTTTACACCTTTTCTATTTTGTTTCCAGCTGTCTGCCACAAACAATAGTAAAGGTGGACAAACGTTCAACAGTGCCACACCTACAGCCGCAAGCAGCTGAATTGTTGCTTGATGGTTTAAATCTTCTCGAATGTTTTATTACTTTCGACCCAACACTTGCAACCTTTCATTTCATTTTCATTTACATTCACGTCGGTACGTCGGTGAAATCCGTTTTTACGATTCTTTAACTTCACCAATTTTCACCATTTTTTTTTTACAAGCATACCACAGCGGATGCAACAGCAGCAGAACAGCTTAAGAGCTGACATGGGGCTAAGCTGTGTGCTGTGCGGTCCAGCGGTGGGGCTAATGGTAATGTGTGTGGTTTGATGGTCAGTTGGAGAAATCAAAAAAAAAAACCGGTGTATTGTGAGAAAAAATTTGTGTAGATTAAAATAACAGCAAAGCAGATAAGCGAAAACAGCGCTGCAATGGTACTTTCAATATATAAACACATATAAAGGGGAGTGAGTTAGGGTCGTGGGTTAAATTTTATTTGGCGCGCGTCTAACTTAAAACAATAAGGCGTTCGGGCATCTAAACATACATACATACAAATATAATCTAAGCAAGTATGTGTGCAGCACAGTTCCTTTTAATGTATTCAATTACCACTGAATATTGAATGCAGTCATTGGTGAGAAGAAATACTGTTTTATGTAGCACCGATTTGTATTCGAATGACGAAAGGGATGAACTGAGATCGTGAAAATTAATGCGAGACGAATTGATAAATTAATTTGGTTGTTGATATGTTAATGGCATTTTTTTATGTACTCGCCCCGGCTAAGGTCCACATGCATTAAATAATGGATGCTGATTTGAATATATATATGAAGATTTTTTTAAAGGGACTTTATTTAGAATAAAGGTTTTCTTTTCTCTGTATACTTTTTTAGCCTGTTGTTAAGTTTAAAATTTATATTTACACATATATACATAATTTGGAAATGAAAATTCGTTTTAAAAAACTCAAAACATTTTTATTGTGAT